GTATCAGATCTTAACTTTTTGTCTCTGTTCTGGTTTTCTGTTATTGCGCAAATTCAGGATGTGCAAGTAGCACAAAGCTTAGGCTAGGGGGGCTATGTCATGCTTGTCACTCCCTGTATTCCAAGCAGACAGAGAGCAATAAGGCACTTCGTCTTGACAAACAAAGTACAAACCAAGCATACTGCACTCCAGGTGGGAACCTTAGTTCTTGCCTGGCGCGGTGTGCAACGTGTGCAGATCTGCCTGAATGGACGAAGCTGCGCTGCTGTGGACGCAGGTATGAGGCAGGGGCAAGATGTGTATTCGCAAGGCACTTGGGAGGCATCAGTGTATTGTGTGAGTCAAGGTCGACATTGAGTCCACTAAAGACAGGTGGATGCAGGCTAAGTTGACTAGCTTCGCTCGATGACCTGAGGCTCAAAATTTGGCATAAATCAATGGAAGACCACTGCGCTTGCAATCGGAATCTCCAAAATGCCGAAAGAAAGGGAGCAGTGTGGTTGCTATCATGCAGTCCCAGGCGGAGTGGGCCAGGTTGCTTCTGCTTTTTGGGGGTTTGGTTGTGTTTGTTGTGTGTTTTGGGTGCTTGGTTTTTTCTTGTGCTGCAACCAGTATTGTAACTCTCTCTTCATTTGAACAAGGTGACTTGTGCAGAACCTGCACACATAGCGCCTCGACTCGTGCAAAAAATCCTGACTTGCTAGTTAAAGTCGGTCTGATCTGATTGCCCACGCCTCTACAGGCACAAAGCAACATCCCGGGCATCTGCTTCTGTCGCTCATAAGTTAACCAATCCGTCCAGGCCCAGCAACCAAGCCATGAATAGTGTCAGCAACTTCGACTTGGCTGCAAGCTTATCAAGTGGCCTTTTTGCACAATTCAACGTCCGATTTGTTTCACCCTGCATGTACATTCAAGAGTCTCCTGTTTTCTTCCCTGGTCGGTTGTTGTTTGGAGGTGGTTTGTGTTGGTGTTGTATTTGTTGCTTGGCACTTCATACTGGAGACTCTTTCAAAAACAGCACAAGCTGACCCATGCATTTTACATGAATGGCGGCTCCACCGGTGCAAAACAAGCGCGCTGCGTGGCCGCTGCAGGGTGGTGCTGGTGCAGGGCGGGGCGCTTCGGAGCGATGCTGCCGCTGGAAGCTTGGATGCTGGTGCTCGTTGGGAGCTTGCGAGCTGCGAGCTGCACCCCGTTGTTTTTCATTTGTTTCTTTTCGTTTTGTGTTGGTTTGGTTGCATCTTTCCGTTGCTCACGTGCCGTTTGCAGTGTTTCATTTGGTTTTGTGACAGGTCTATTTTGTTTGCTTGATTTTTTTCCTTGTTTCTGTTCGTTGCTTTACTGGTAGACTGTCTCCCACAGAAGGAGCGGGATGCTGTCTCACCACCACAGGGCCAGACCCACGACAGCTCCAAGCCGATCAGCTGACTGTAACGAAACCACAGCTGGAACTTGCATCTCTTTTCCCAGCAGGTCTTGCAGCTCCGTCTCACACCAGCAAAACGCTTTTTTCACCACCCTCAACTTTCGATCAGTGTTTCATTGACAGAGTCCATGGACTTTCGGTTTCAAAGGCCCGGACATTTTTAGGTTTGTGATTCACTCGCGGTTGGCTGTTGCGATGTGAACTTCAGTCTGTTTTTTCAAACAACATTGATTGAACCTGAACCTTTGTGTTGCAAAAAACTGAAGAGCATGTGGGACTGTGTTTTCGAGGAAGGCTCGCCTGTTTTGTTTTGGTGGGTCATGTGCTGTTTGTCCGAAGGTGCTGTGATTTGTTTGATTGTTGGATTTGTGTCGGGGACTTGCTTGTTTTTTTTTTTTGAGGAAATATGTTTCGTAATGATTGCGTAAATGTCTGTTGGGGTTGTTGTTGGGGGTTCTTGCGGATGTTAATGCTGTCATGTTCCGTTGGTGGTGTGTGTGAATTGTGGCGCGGTCGGATGCAGCCATGCAATACAAAGGCTGGAATGACATTGCAGACTGAGAAAGAGACCGAGCAACCAAAGTTATGGACCCGGCCATGGTTTGGAAGAACCAGGGCCGTGGCCAATGAAGTGAAGGGGTGGTGAACCGGCCTTGCAGCTGGTGCTTCCACCGTGGGCGTGGGCGAGGATCAAAGCATGGGTTCAACCCCTGGTTCCTGACATGCCCACCATTGTATTCTGTATTACGTGTACATCTTAGGCCTGATCTAGAGCGCCACAACGAATCAAATTTTGTTTCAGGGGATGAACAATGATAGCAATGAACGTGTTTCTAACATCCTTACCTGATTCTTTCTAGGTTCAATTCCATAAAACAAATTGATTCTTTGTGGGATGTTCGAAGCAATAGGATAATGGCTGGCTTTGGAAGTGCAATGAGAGAAATGCTTTCATGTTTTTTCGGCTCTTTGGAGTGCGTGTTCCTCCCTCTTCGAGTCGTGACGCGGCGCGGCGAAACGTGGAACGTACGAGTTCCATGGCGCTGGGAGATTGGGACGAAGTTGCTGTGGGCAAGCAACCTGGGCTGACCTGGGGCGGTGCAAACATTTTTTTACCAGAGGTGTGTGTATTTTCTGTGTATAAATGCGTCCATGTCGGTAGGGCCTGGTAGGGTGGACCCGACGTGTGGGAGACGTTTCTGAGACATGTTGGAGACGTGTTTGCATTGTAATTTCGGGCCATCAACTGATGGGGGCCAGTGCCATGTTCTTGGCTTAAGGAAAACGTTTCTTTCAACTGAAATCATGTGTGATTTCAGCTGAAATCCAGCCCGTGGGCCCTTGGGCCCAGGTATGTGTATTGGAGCAACGTCCAAGATGATGTTCCGCTGGCAGATCTGGGAGAGGTGCTTTCAGCAGATGGTTCCAATCGCGTGGTTCGCTTTGCGAAGAAAGAAGTGAAAGACAAGGTTTGGACGCTAAGTCTGAAAGCAGACATGTTACATCATATTTGGAATCAAAGTGCTCCGATTGTTATTGGCATATTTTCGGCTTCTGTGCTCTCAAGTAAGGATGTTCAGGCTTGCTGACATTCAGAAAGAGACCTTTGTCCATGCAGTTGTTGACGGCGTGTCTCCTCATTCAGTTGGACTCGTGAGGGAACTGAAGGGTGGTCAACTGTTGGTTCACATCGAATCTGCACCTTAATCAGGCAGTTTTTCCTTTTCATTCTGTTCGACGTTTACTTCGTGGCAGCGCCAAAGGCCCCTGGCCCTGCGTCACCGCGTGGTCACCGCATGTCACTCGGTCGTCCGAGGAAGGCAATGGGCTGACGGCAAACCGGACGGATCTGCTGAAAAGCCAACTACAGCCTGGTTCACGTGTGCGTTGGACTATCAGTAGTGACGACATACCACGAGGTGAGCTTGGCGAAGTTCTCCTGGACGTGAATGCCTACAGCGACATCAAGGTGAAGTTCTCGGCTGGAGAGTTTCGAATGAGGTACTCTGAGATGTTGCTTCGGAATGGTCAGTGTTTTCTATTTTGAGATGTATGGTGAAAAGGTCTTAAGGTGAACACTTTTTTGGAGTGAACAGTGAACACTGGTTGGCTGTTTGCCTGCCAGCTTGGGCTCCGCCCAGGGGGCCTCCGACGGTTTCTTCCCAATGGGGCACGCCGGTCGTGCCTGGGTTCTTTTGAGGCCCCTTCCAAAGATGGACGGTTACGTCCACCCGGGTCTGTGTGAAGGTTCTGGTACCTGAACCATGGCATCCATGGTTCATTTCTGCAGGGTCAGTGGCGAAGCCGCCTTCGCACCAAGACCACTCGGTCAGCTGAGGGTCTTGGCTTCGGAGTGTGGTAACAGCATCACAGTGGGCCAGCGGCTCGGCGGGAAACGGCGGGTCTGGCGTGGTTCGATGTGAAAGGCCAGGCGCCACAAAAGGACGAAAGGACGAAGGTCAGGGTTCATGGGCTAACAGAACAAGGCTCCGCGGCTCCAGGCTGTATTTTTGGGTGTTCCCCAGGTATGTGTATTGGAGCAATGTACAAGATGGTGTTCCGCTGGGAGATCTGGGAGAGGTGCTTTCGGCAGATGGTTCCAATCGCGTGGTTCGCTTTGCGAAGAAAGAAGTGAAAGACAAGGCGTGGACACTCGACGAAGAGGAGGACTTAGCAAGACTTTTCTGATGCGCGCTAAGATGTTTGGACGGATTGATTGGAAAATCAATTGGATTGAAGTTTCGGTCCTTTCTTTCGCTAAGGATGTTCAGGCTTGCAGAGATTCAGAAAGATGCATTTGTGCACGCTACAACAAGTGGCATACCACCTGATGCAGTTGGAGTGGTGAAGGATTTGAAAGACGGTCACTTGCTGGTTCACATTGAATCTGAGCCATAATCAGACCTCGGCCCGCTTTGTTTCATTGAATCTTTTCTTTGGTGCATTGCAGTCCTAGTCTTTTTTGCTTTGGTCACACTTGACACTTCAGGAGGGCAATGGGCTGACGGAACACCGAACCAATTTGCTGAACAGCTCCCTACAGCCTGGTTTACGAGTCCGCTGGACCAAGAGCGATGAACAAATCCCTCGTGGTCATGTTGGAGAAGTCCTTGCGGACGTGAATGCCTACAGCGATGTGAAGGTGAAGTTTCCCTTCGGTGAGTTTCGACTGAGATACTCCGAGATGCTACTTGGATCAAGCGTCTCCAGGTTCCGCGTCTCCTGGTTCCGCGTCTGAGCGGTCGGACCAGTCGATGGGGAGTCTTCAAGGGGTGAAGCTCCGGTCGTTCAGTCTGAAGACGAAAACGTGTTGTACCCGAAGCCTTTCAAAAGCCGCGATACACCCGTTTCTCAACACATCACGCCGGGCACGTCTATTTCCCACATGGCTTGTTACGAACAGTCAAAAGAAACAGTCGATTCGGGGAGACAGGATTTCCTTCCCTTTCGACTTCTTCCGTTCTCTCTTTTGCACCTTGTCGTCTCCTGGGTTCTTGGTTTCCCAAAGCGAACCGTCCCAACTCGGCCAGGACGCAGGCGCCGCTCTCGGCGATCCCCGAGGAACCTCCGATCCATCACGTCGGTCGATCCGGCTCGATGGGCCCGGGGCGGTTGGGTTGGGGTTCGTCGGGGTTGGGCGGTTGGTGGGGGGTTTGGGCGGCTCAAGTGACTGAAGTGTTTCTTTTTCCCCAAACAGTTTACTGTTGGGGTTCTATCTTAGAAAGAAAAGAGCTGGCCACACTCATTGACCTAAACGAATCGTTTTGAAGCTGTTTGGGGTCTATGCTTGAATTTCTTCTGCCTCTTTTTTTTGGGGTCTTCGTGATGTCCGCGGCTGGGCGACGTAGCTGGACGGAGTCGTTTCTTTGATCCGCCTTTCAGGAGATGTTGGGTTTAGGGTCTTTGGGGTCCGTGCCAGTGCAGTTGTGATTTGTAAGTCGAAACTTAAATGGTGTGTTTTCCAGCTATCTTTCTCAACCATGATTGCTTCATTGTTGTGTTTGTTTTTTATCTTTTTTCCGTTCAATTGGTCTACATGACAAGTTGGCGCGGTTTGGGTCAGACGCGCGTTTTTCAACGTTCCACTCGGCCTCACGTGACCGGGGCTTCCACCCGACGCTACCGGCCGCGACCGGCGACGGTGATCAGGAGCCCTTGGCCAAGCTGAAGCGGATCTTCAACGACTTCCGTGGTGGGCGACTTCCGGTGGAGGAGCGGTGCTGGTGAAAGACAGAGGGACAGAGGTCCTGCCTGGGGAACGGTGGTGGGTCTGTGCCAGGCTGCACCTGCAAGAGGTCCTGCCTGGTCGGCCTGCAACCTAAGGTAACCAAACCATCATCATGCACTGGGCCCCCCCAAACAAATGGGGACAGACCCAAAGCATATTATGTTCCAACCCCAAAGAACCAGAAACACAATGAAACACCCTGGATGTTGGGGAGAAACAACCTGGTTGTTTGGAGTTCCAGGTTATCTATCTATCATGGCACCACCGACTGGACCCGGACTCCTCGAGATCCGACTCCTCGAGATCCGTTCGGCGACCTCTGGGAGGGCGCTCCCAGCTGCTCCCAGCTGAATCCGACCGCTCGGGCTCTCCATGGGGGTCGGGGTCGGACCCGACCTCCACCGGAAACGCAGGGGGACATGGGGCTCGGTTCCCAAACCCTATCTGTTGGTGAAGGATCCCGGATGCTTTCCCAGCTGCTTCCTTTTTCCATTTGTGGCCCAAGGAGGATCGATGTGACCTCTTCAGTCTTCACCCCGTTTCGCTCCTTTTCGATGTCTCAGCTTCGATGCGCGAGCTTCGCTCCGAAGCGAAGTCCCCGAAGTCAAACGCTGGTCCGAAGGACCTCTTTTGCCCTACAGGTCGACCTCAGGAAAGACTGGAGATGGGTCACACAAAACCCATTCTCAAGGGGGTCAAGGACCAGGTTGTACTGGGTCAGACTGGAAATGAAGGGTTGAGTACCGTTTTTTGAAAGAGCTCCCCGGACATGACGTGACATGAGGTCCTTACGTCCCTGTAAAGACACCGTGTCCGCGCAGGATTTCGTGGACATATTGAAGCGGCTGGGCTTCGCCGAGACCGACGGCCTCGCCGCTTTGTTTGGCCAAAGAAGAGAGGCCAGAAGGCCATGGATCCACCAAGGTGGTTCCTTATTTGGCAGTTTTTCTCCAACAGCGAAGCTTATAAGGGTCTTCAGCCATAGTAAAGACTTCGGAGCAGATCGCAGCAGGTGCCGCAGCAGGTTCTGTTGCTTGTTCCGGAGCAAGTTCTGGAGCAGGTTCTGGAGGGGGTTGCAGAGGAGGTTCCTTCTGGTGGAAGTTCCGGGGCAAGTTCCCGAGCACTTTGCAGATCTGCCGGTGAGATGATTCGTGTTGTCACGCTGATGGGCTTCTGTGATGTGTCACTCTGACATGTTGTCATGCTGGTGTGCTGGTATGGGTCCCGCTAACATGCTGACATGTTGTCACGCTGAGGTGCTGAAGTCGGGTCATGCTGTTGCGCTGGCAGGCTCCAGAGCAGGCTCCGGAGCATAATTGCTGGTTCTTGCTTGTGGTGTCGTTGTCGTGCTTGCACATATGCGGCCCGCATGATGTGTGCTACGCCGACGTTTTGTCGTGTTGGTATGCCTGCGTGGCACATTGGAAAATTAGATCTTTTGAAGGGAGCACTGTCGGGCAAAAACAGTGGGACGCTTATCGGTTATCTTGGGATGGTGGTGGCGGATTTTGATCACGTTCCGAAGGCACCAACAAAAGGCACCCACATGCGAGTCTTTTCAACTTTTGGGACTTTGAAGTCTCCAGTTGAGGACTTGTCGAGCCAACTCCCTCGCGGCAAAGATGGCACCTGCAGCGGGAAGGATTTCATTTCGTACCTCTTTCCACGCTGAAGGCAGTTCGCTGACGGTTCTCAGCGCCAAAGTTCGCAGGTGTTTGAAGAGCACAGACCAACAGACTGGCTGTCTGTTGAACATGTAGCAACGCGGTTTGGGCCCATGCTTGACGTGTTTTTCGGAGCTGGTCTTGATGTGGTTCGGTGTCCTACGTTGGTTCCAATAGTCGGCTGAACATTGCTTGATAGAGGGATTGAACTTGGATTTGTTTCAATAGTTTTGGTAGAGCCTTGAGGATTCAAACCGCTGAAAGTCCTCCACGCAAACCTTGTGCGGTTGGGCCTTTTGTTGAGAGGATCATTGGACCAAAGTCGTCCGATTAGACTCAGTCCGTTTGAAGAAGTCTCATATGGTAGCTATCCAGATTCAGAAAGGCTAGGGACGAGCCTTCTAGCTCTCAGAGAGTACTTGAAGCCATTTTTATGAATGGTAGACTTTCAGAAGTGTTTCTTGGTCTCGCTTGCTTGAAAGAAAAGAACTTGACAACATGTGTTGAGCATACATCCGGCCAACACCCCTTTTTTGTTTGCTGTAGTTCATTGCACTTCCTGGTATGCTGGGTTCATTTTGGCTTGAACATAGCAATCTCTGCTGGATCTTGAGGAGTTTTGATTCAAAGAATCTTGGACTTTGACACTGGTGATTTACTGTAGATTGGATGAACACAGGGCCTCGGCGGGCAGAGAAAATATGTTCAGGCTTGCCATCTCAATCAGGCTAGCGGAAGCTCTCAAGCAAAAATGCGACATACTCTCTCACTTGTGTGTTTGTGTTTGACAATCGTAGTAATTCCCAAAGAGAGAGTAATTTTGGGATGCCTCATTCTATGTAAAGGACCCAGACCCAGCTTCTTGTTTCTACTCCTTCGCTTTGATGGCCACAAGAAGGTGTGTCTCTTGATGGGACTGACGAAATCATGATCTTCGGTAGCTGGGAAGCCCAAAGAATGGCTCGCCCGTCTCACCCGGAAGATCAACGGCATCCGGTGAGGTATCAAAATCAGGAGACCTCCCAGGCAACGACTTCCCAGGCAACAACCTCCTGGAAGAAGGGAGAATAGACCTGAATCGAAGACGGTGCTTCGGTCCAGGGACTGGATGAGACGCTGGATTCTCCATTCTCTCCAAATGGGGCAGGAGTCGTTCGTGCGTGTATGAAGATCTGGGAGAGTGGGACTTGCTTGCCAGGATCTTGCTCAACCACCAACACGAAGGACCAAACCATGCCAGGATTCTGATGGCACCTTCATGTCATCCCTCTCCCCAGATCCGGGCCCCGGGCGGTGACCATGGTCATCATCGGTGACTAGGCTGAAAAGGCTCAAAACATCGGATGACAGGTCTGGACCGGTCTGGACCGACCTGGGGTCTCCCAGGAGACCCTTTTCCGGGAGGGTCTCCCTCCCGGAGGTCTCCCGGGAGACACATGGGAGACCGTATGGTGGGGATGTGAGACGGGAAGTCGATCGTCTTCCATCAACGGCACAGTTTTGGGTGACATCTTTGATTTGGTGGCTCTTGCGGGTTAGTGCATTGTGGCTAGCGTACAGGTCTCTGACTGGTGGCGTGGGGTGCTAGCTTTGGTTGGGTAGGCAGGTTTCACAGACGCAAGGACTTTCCCTAAAACATTTTCTAGTGGGCAGAATCTTTAGAAAGGCTGCAGCTGCTTGCCCAGTGCACAGAGTGTGCACTCTGTTCAGTGAACATCTGCGAAACTGCCACTCTGTTTGGAAGTCTGGAGACACAAGGCGAGACTGGCTATATACTCTTGTGGGCTACCCCAAACTCGTTGGGAGTTGGGAGGATTCTCTCTTTCTTTTCAACACCCTTGGCCTTGGGGGACCCCAGCTTTTAACACCCGCGCGCTGTCACCGAGCTAGCTCGTTCAAGCTCGTTGGGCCGAACCTGGACTGGACGGACTCCGACCTGGCTCAAGACCCCTCAAAGGGGGCCTTTGGAGACACGTAGACGGCTGCAGGGAGGTCTGGGGTCCCAGAGAGGGGGCTGATAGGGGTCGATCTGTGGGCGCGAAGCGTTGGGGTGTTGAAGGGACGGAGGTGCAGCGGGGTTGTGGGAAGAACCGCACTTCGGCATGTGCCAGTTCAGAGTAGCGGAGTGTAGACTCAGGTGTGAGGAGATACTTGTGAGGGTGACAGTTTGGGAGTGCGGCGGCGCGGCGGCGCCGCTGCAGCTTTGCTCTTCTTTCTTGATGAATCCTTTTTTTCGGTTCCGAACTGTTCTGCTCCTTATTGTGGAGGAATCATACACAAAAGTAGAATTTAACGATATAAGCATCATACAAAAAGAATATCCGTAAAAAAGATGACACTTATTTTCTATTTAAACTAATCCTTTCTTTGGTCTACTTTTCGGGTTCGCTGGCGTTCCACCGACCAGTTCCACCCCGAGTCAGCTGACTCGGCACGAGGCTCCGTGAAGCATGTCGGAGCTCCTGCAGAATTGGCTCAACAATGAGGCTGACCGGGGGGCGGTTTTGGTGAGTGGAGTCTTTTTTTCATTTTCAGGGTGTGGCAAAACATCTTTTTCCTTAGACAGTTGCTTTTAGGTCTTTTCCTTTTCGTTGCAGACACATACAAACACCGAACTTGTGGTCGATCTCTTGTGAAATCTCAGGTGGGCCTTTCAACCAATGTCTCGAATTTCGAGAAGGACGGCGCGCGCCGCGCGTTCCGGCGCGCCGTCCTCCGCTGTCTCGATCCAGAAAGGTGACGAGTGGGACTATGTTCAGCGCTGCGGCGCGCCGGGTTCAGCGCTCGCTTCGGCGCCGTGTTCTGCGGCGCTCAGGACTTCTCATCAGGATACCTCTTTGGAGAAATCCTGCACAAGTTCTGGCAAGTCCGGACCTTGCAGATGACTGATCAAGCATTGGTAAGGGGATGAGAGAGAGAGAGAGAGAGAGAAAGCTCGAAATGCAAAGCAGATGTGTGATGTCACCCGCCCCAAGGTGTGATGAAATCGTCCCAGGAGCTCGTAATAAGTTATGTCACCTGTGAAGAATTGAAAGGGAACATATAGAGATGAACTGAGCACGGTTTCGATCGAGGGCTTCGGGGCCCCGGGGCCATGTTCTTGGTAGCTCATCAGATTTCTCTTTCGCCCTTGTTACAGCCACGTTCGCCTTAGAGTTCCATGTTCCCGAACATCCCGAAGCTACAAGCCGCCCCACGGCGAGCTCGCTTCGAGCTCCGTGTCGTCTCCATGTGAGGCTGACTTCGAGCAGTTCCAGAACAAGTGTTTTGGCGCAAGGAGGTATAGATGGACGACAGCTGGGTGTTCGATTGACAGCTGAGTTGTTTGGTGGGTGTGGTGTAGATGGGCGCCTTTCAAAAGCTGAAGAATGGTGGCTCCCAGTAGACTGTGTGTGATGGTCATCTTGGAATGATCAGGATGCGACCTTGGGGATTTATTTCAAGCAGCCAACTCAGTGGACAGCATTCTTGTGTCTGAGCTTCCCAACATGCTACTAGGAACAAGAAGCTACTAGGGGCCCTTGGCATCGCGACTAGTAACAAGAAACTACGAGGGGCTCCTGGCCTTACTACTAGGAACAAGGGATGATAGGAAGACCTTTCTTGGAATCATCTTCTCAACTTGTCCCCACCTGGTGGTATGATGCCAGGGCCCCAAGTACGCAAGAAATGCATCCCTAGTGCATTGGGATGCATTGGGCAACTCAAAGGTAAGATTGACTTGGCCGTACGAACCAAGGTGTCTTTCAGGGAGTTGCTTATGGGTTGCCCATTCTGAGAGATACCCGGCAAAGGGGAGCAGATTGCCATGTCGAGTAGACTTCGGGGTCATTTATTGCCCGTGGGGGGCATCATACCACCAGGTGGGGGACAAGTAGAAGATGCATGTCATCGAAGGTTTCTACTTCAAGAGTGCTTCGGTCCGCTTGGTGCCAGCCCGAAAGCCTTCCATCGCAGTCGCAGGAGCAGAGTCGGGCGGTTCGGTGACCTCTCCAGGTGACCTCTCCACAGACTCGCGCCTTTCCAACTTGGCCCCGAAGGCCCCCAGCCAACATACAGAACTCCCGCGAATAGGTCTATACTCGAGCTAGGGTAGACCCTATCTGCGGGGGTTGCCCGACACGGCTCCCGGTTGGCGCACCATGTGGCACGACGTGGGCAGTTGGGTCAGCTGGGTCAGTTTTGGCTCTGGACGGTTTGAGGAACTCTCACCAAGCGAAGATCGCCAACTTCAAGTCGTTAGAACCGATCTTGAAGGCACGAGAGGGGCGGAGTTCGTGCCAAGCTTTGGGGGGGGGGGGCCCAGAGTTTCGAGGGTTGGAAACTGGTCGGGTGGAGGGTGAGGGTCAGGTTGGCTTGGTGGCTTGGTCGGTTTGGGTGGTGGTATGGATCTGTGGAGTCGTTTGGGAGTGGGAGTGCGTCATCATTGCGTCTGGCAGCTGGACAGAAATGGCTTCGGGTTGGTGACGCAGGGTTGGTGTTCCATGTGGGGCTCAATGGTGGAGAAGGGGAGATGCACCTCCTCCTGCTGAAGCAGGGTATAAAGAGGACACATCAAATGGTGTGGACACGTGAGGTAAATGACCAGCTGGAGCACCGGGCTCCAAAAATGGAAGTTCATGTTCAGGTGAAACATCGTTGGCTCACTTGAAGCGTCATCACTGATCAAGTGGGCCACAGGAACAACGGGTTGCCAAGATGACCCATCACCGGGCTTGTATACAGGTTGATCATCCTGCAATAGATAGTGTACGGAGCGTGTTGATCATGAAGCCCTTTTCCATTCACTTCTTGTTGATTGTTGGCTTGTCCACGTTCTATCTACTTGAGATTGATGATACAAGTTATGGCTTCTTGACGTCCAGGTTGACAAATGACAGCAGTATCTAACGCGGCTGCGACTAACTTAATTTCAGTGAGGTTCTGGTGAACTGATCTTCTGATATGGTGTGCCTTCAATTTAGCACAGAACCTGAGCAGTTCGACTCTGGCCTTGACACTGCTCAGGTTGACTCTGTTGGTTCCATTGGAGGGTAGCCGACGGACTCTGTTAATGATTGGTCTGATTCGTCTGGTTCGAAAATCAGTTTCCATCGAACCAAAAACAGCATTTTCGCGAAAGACCGTGGAAGGCAGCCCAGGCTGCACCAGGCAGCGGCCGCCGCACTGGCGGGTTCAAAACCGTCCAGGCACTGGGCATCAAATTCAATGCCACCCTGATCAACGCAGCTCGGGAAGCTCAGAGCTGGTTCTCAGGAACCTGATCAACCCCGCCGTGCCGTTCCTGCCGCGGGTGGTTCGGTGGCCGCAGGGCGGAGCGTTCTGCACGAACTCCATGGTCCCTGGCTGTGGGTTAGACCAGTTCACACCTCAGAGCTCGAGTTTCCCCTGGTAGGTCCTCTGAGGTCGGTCAAGCAGGTAGGATTGTATCCTGGTGATTCTTTTCCCCCCTGTCCATGCCCCATATAGGGTTGGTCATGGCAAGGTTTGTATCCTGGTGCCATGACCCTAAACCCCCAAATGCTCCTCAAGAAGACAGACCATTCCGTCTGACCCGGCGTTTTCGACGGGTCAGACGGGTACTCCACGTTTTCCTTTGGGATTTGCGGAGAAAACGGAACCCGTTGTACCATGTTATACCCTGGGAGTCAAAGACTATAAAAGGAATGGTCTTTAAGGGAACTGAAAGGGAACTTCCTTTACTCCAGCTGGTCAAGATATAGTCTTTGGACTTCTAGGGTATACATAGTGATCCCCAAAATAGATGACCGGATTGCACGTTTGAACGTTTTGAGTGGGGAGACAGACTTCTATGACAGGGGGGTCTTTGGCAATGAGGCTTTTACACGACAAAACCAGGTCAACCATTCTTTTCATGGTCTTTGAAGGCTAGGGGTTATATTGTGTTTTTCCACCAATCCCGTGTTGGTCATCAAATCTCGGTCCAGTTTTTTTGGCGGAGTTTGTGATCAGGAGCAATGCTTCACTGGGTTGCCTGTGTCGGTCTTGTTTCCCCAGAGTCTCTCATGCGACAGGCCCAAGTATTTCACATGGTTTTTCACATGCCCACGTATTCGGGAGCTTCTAAGACTCTGAGCAATCAATCTCTCCTCCCCATTGGGGCTGTTTGCTTTCGCTTCTTCTTCTTCTTCTTGCCCCTGTCTTCATCGCCGATGTCGACCTCGGTCGACCTCGGTCCCCGGCACCAAAAGGGCGGGGGTTCGGTCTGCAGGATCGGCGGAAGCATCACGTGATCCTGCAATCGGATGTTCAGATTTGCTGGAGGCTCCAGACATCCTTCATCTACAGCTGCCATTAAGGCCACGCCCTGGATTCTGGAGGTACCCAAAAGCACCATTGAGCTCACCATGATTTTCAGTCAGCAAACTGTGTGCCTCAATCTCCCCATCCAGGTGTCCTTTTTCCTTGGGCCACTCTGGCCCATCTACAAGAGGGACATTCTTCCTCCACCCCACTGTGCCTCAAATGAAGCTTCCAAACCGCAGTCGGCCAAATCACGGTTCCAAGTTTCAAGCCATCTTTACCAGTCAGTCGCCGCTTGATCTGCATGACCTGCGGCCGACCCAGGTGATGAATGGCGAACGGGGTGCAGCCTTAAGGCAGTGGGCCAGAAGATCGATCGGGGTCTGACGGAGGCTCAAGTCCACCACATAGAAATCAAAAAGATCTACCCGACTGAAGTCCAGTTTGACGATATTTTGAGCGACTGAAGTAGGGAAACTCCCTTTCAGATCCTTTAAAGAGAATTCTTTTGATAGCCTTTGACTCCCAGGTCTATATAAGGAGATCATTTGTGAACGTACTCCTCTTTTTTGGGAGGCAGGTCGAGAATGGACAAGTTTCTTGGGATTTGGACGGTCTTGTCATGTATAGCAGCCTGAGATATGTATATATATTTACGGTTGCTCTTGTGGACAGTGCAGGGTCGGGCGTCTGGTCTTCGGGGTGATGAGTCTTCGCATTCTTGGTCCATTCTATCACCTGCTTTTTTAAGAGGTCCGCTGTGCTTTTTCCTTCGGATTCACCATGGATCCCGGGCTATTTGTGCCATCGAACGGAGTCGAAAGAACTCGAGAACTCGAGAACTCGACACCGATCCGTTGGTTTTTTTGTTCCGTTCTGACCGAGAGAGGATTGAGGCACGGTGCAGCGAGGAAGTCCCAGCTCCACCCGTGGTTCTTGTCCGACGCTGTTCGGCGACCTCGGAGCGTTTCACGCAGTTCAGCGATCACACCTTCCCGCGTGGGAAGGGGAAGGGGTGGGTTCCCAGCTGATCCAGGTGGTTCCCCGGAGTCTTTCTGCGGTGGTTTGTGTCGTCTCCTCGGTTCTGCGGTGTTGCCATGGATCTCCGGGTGCGTTTGAGGGGTCAAGGCTCAGATGGCTTGGATTGTGTCTCCAGGTTGTGATTCGACAGGGAGGGGTCTGGTAGGGAATTGCTCTGACTCAGGTTCCAAGGAAGTGGATACCATGGCCACCTAGGAAGAGAGACTTTGGTTCCTTGTGCTTTGGGCTTTTTTTCCACTCTTGATGGAACTGGGAGTCGGCTTCAAAGGGAGGAGTATAAGATGCGTAGGACCCATCCGCTGGTGTGTACGAGCCGTCGAATCCACCACCGGAGCTTCCACGGGATCGAGCCGGGGAGTTGCCCGCCCACACATGGGCGGGAGACCCACCCCACCTTTTTTGGGGGGCCGGCGGCCGCCAAGCTAGATGTGGTCGCATTTCGACAAGCCGGCGACTTGCGGTTTGAGACGTTGCTGGGATGTTGACTGAAAAACGCTCTGCTTGATGGAGCAACGCAGTCCATTGGAAAGAGACTCCTATTTTTGTGTTCATGAATCCTCCATCAAAGCAGTGCTGAACTTGGACATGGACTCTGGTGACAATGACGCCCGACGACAAGCTGCAGCAGCGCATGGCTCAAGTGTGAAAACACGAGCTACACCAGATCAAAGATAGGCCTTGAAGGCACTCATTTTGCAACCCTGATTAATATGACCCCTCCCCACAAAGAAATGCATCGGAATGCCTCCAGCGGCAACAACTTTAGCCCACCTAGGATGCCCCAAATCTGATGCTGACGGAGTGATTGTGATCAGAAGCAAAAGCAAAAGCGTTTGCTATGTGATGTGGCTATCAAACCAAGCTGCCCCACACCCCAAACAGTAGGCCATTATCTTTCCATCCATGGAAGGTTCACCTGTCTTTGACCCAGTGCCACGTGTGGGTTTGCCGCGATATCGTTTGCTGGAACCCTCCAAGCAGTTTTCTGGATTGGGGCCCTTTGATGAGATGAGATGTTCGGAAGAACTTTGCAAGACCAAAGACCATCCCGGACGAGGCCAAGCGAGGCCTAGCGAGTAGACGTGGAACAAGACCACCCCAATTTCTTGTTGGAGTTGGCATAGTTGGACGTGGCATAGTAGCGGAACAGCTGTTCGCGCCGGGCTGTGCCTGGAGCTTCCCAGTGAGGGCTGCTCATGGCGGAGGACGGTCATCAACAGCGGGTGGGTGGCGGGAAAGGTCACACCAAGACACGGCCAGTGAATGACTGTAGTTTCGGGGTTCCCTGTGGACCAGTACTTCCTCAGAACTCAAGCAGAACGCCTAGATCTAGCAGAATGCCCTTGGTTTACCAGGACATGCATCTTTAGGAAACCATCCTCCACCCGGTGCTACCAATGCAAACGTCCGCTGGGACACCCACCCACGGCTGGTGAAAGGATGCTGCAGGTGCTGGCATATTCTTACCCATTTTTTTCCCCTTTTGGGCGGTGTCGAAACGCTTCGAAGCTCTTCGATGGATGGACATACGAGTGAAGGGAACTCGTGCGCAGGTGACGGGACAAACCGGGACAGCCCCCAAAAACAGCAATTCATCATGATTTCACCGAAACGGGCATGATCAGCAATTTTCTCCGGTCAATGGAGATGGTAGATGGGTCAGCCTCCCGACCCGAGGTCCACGGAGTTTCGCTCGCTTGGTCAATCACGCCAGTCTGGCAGTGTTTTGCAGCCCTGAGTGGATGGGTTATCCCTCAAGACGTTCGCAGATGTTTTCCCTGGCCATGAGTACGCCAGAATCTCCATCTGCCCACAGTCAGGACCTCCATCCACCACCTGAAAACATCGACACGAAAAAGCGGGGGCAGGCGGGGGCAGGAGCAGTGTGGAAGCCTCAGCCCTCCGGTGTCCTGCCCGTGCCGTTCCTCATGGCGGTGCGGTTCGTCGTTCGTTCAGGACCCGAAGCGGCGGCTGGCCTGGCCCTCCTACGGCCGGGGTCGAGCGGAGCGGAGCGGCCAGGAGGTGAAAGTGCTGGTCGAGGTGAGGATTGCGAAGACCGGGATCTGAGATATCATGATATCTCCAGATATGAACCATGCAGTACTTACTGGTCTTTCACGGCTCAGGCGAATGGTTGAGGACCTGGAAAAAAGCCACGGCTTTAACTTTAGAGCATCCATTTTCGGCATTCGATTGGAACTTGGAACCTTTCGAAACCTAATCTGGTCTTCGTGGGTTTTGACCAAAGCCGCAGCCCAGACGTTTTCCTGGTCGAGACACTTCTGCGAACTCCTTCAAGTGTGTATTGAGGTTGGATTCACCTTCTGGCTTCACCATCCTTTTGGGTGCAATTTGTGTCGCATCGGAATTCGTTCACCAAGAGTCAAGAAGAGTAAGGTTTCCATCTCTCTGGCTTTGCTGGGAGAAGGTCATATGATGGCTTCATGGTGGGAAAATGAGGTTGCATCTGATAGGTTGGCGATTGCAAGAACATTCTCATTTTTCTTTTTTCGGGTCATCTCATCTCCCCACGTGGAAGAATAGGAGTCCAACTCTCTAATTTACGTAGGGGTCTCTGTTCTTGCAGTAACCCTTCACAAACTCAACTTTACCTCTTGGAATCATCCCCAGAGGTATCCCATTTTACACCCGGTGGGCCGACATCCCCCCTCATCCGAACGGTGAGGGGTGTTGCCGACCTCCCAGTCGTCCTGTCCTGTCGACCTTACTCTTGTGGCCGACGATGGATTTCTATGGGTCAGACTTTGAATGACAGGATCACAAGAAAGATACTTGCATCTGGCGCGCATGACTTCAGTCACATGACCAGTCATTGTCATTTCATTCCTGTCCCAGAACTTCCGTTTTGATTCATGAAGGACCCTGCCTGGCAGTCATGATCCACTTGGGGTTGTAAGCCTAAAAATGCTGAGTCATGACCCTTTCAAGTGCTTTTCATCCCCAAAGTGCTATTTTTAAAGGGTTGGTTCCAGGGATATGCCTTTCTACCAAAAACCAGTGCCTTTTCATCGCTTCTTCTTTGCGCCAGGTCGCCGATGCCACGGGCCCAGCGGAGTTGCCCAGCGAGCCGATCGCCTGCGGCATCGCGTGCGGCGGGGGATTGGGCGGTTGGTTGGTGTGTCGTTCATCGAGACCTGGGGTCGCCCTAAACCCAAGCCTCAACTGGTATGACGCAGGGATGGGAGGGTACTGGTAGGGGATGATGGAGTTTGGAGAAAGACCAGCAGGAGTCTTTTCTTTGGGCATTGAATCGAGCTCAAATACGGAGCTCTTCCCCTTTTGAGAGCACCAACCAGGCTTTCAGCTGAGTCCTGAAGATGGCTTCCTTCTCCTGAAAAGGAGGCCCCAACTTGTGGTTTTGAGATTGATCGAGGTCTAGCCGGGCTTCTGAATTTGATGTGATTCCCTCCCCAAGGGCACCCTGCACCGCGGTGCTTTGGAGGTGAAAAGGCCCACGACCCTCACGTCCGTGACCCCCACCTGACACATCCGTGACACACGGAACCATGACTCGCTAATGGGATGTTCTTTGTTACTAGTAGCTTCTTGTTACTAGTAGCGATGCCAGGAGCCCCGAACGTAGCTTCCTTGCTCCTAGTAGCAAGGCCAGGAGCCCCAATCGTAGCTTCTTGTTACTAGTTGGTTCCGGGAATTTCCAGCGACTCTGAAAAAAGCCATGTCGTGGTCGTTGGAGATCGACCTACCAGGTCGGGGGTTAAAACCATTTCTACCGTTGGACCACGGTCGGTCCATCGTTCCAGGACCACCTAGGGACCTCTGATAATCGGAGGATTTCAGGCTGAAGTCCTGCAGCCAGGTACTTGGACCACATGCTGGATCAGCTGAACTCCCATGGCCAACTCAGGGTCTCCGTGCAGGACGGGTCGGGTCTCGGCTTCCCTCCTCGAGACTCGAGAGACTCGATGACTGTGGGAGAGATGGAACGGAAGTCGAGGAATCCAAAGAGGATACCTTCGGGCTACGATGGCTGCCCTACCGTTCTTTGGCGTGGTCCAGGTGTCAAGGCCTTTCGGAAAGCGACATGGACCAATCTTTGTATGGGGAATAGTGGGCCATAGTGGGCCCATGAAGATGTTCAAAGGGTGTCACAACTCCTTTCCAGCGGAAAGAAGGCAGAACAGCCTCTTCAGTCCCCTTCATCTCTGGCACAGTCTGAAGCTTCTTCCCCTTGGTTGACTACATGTTACATGAGCTAGCCGTGCGTGCGGTTGCATGAACAACGGACGCGGCGGCTGCGTCACTTGGCTCAAAATTCCGAAGGTTTTTGGCCGACGAAGATCCTCCGAGTCAGTAGCGTGTTCCCGCAGCACGTGGCGTGTTCCCCAGCGGAGCGAAGCACACGTGACACAGATGATGGGAATCGGCCTTCAATGCAATTGCCCGCGGAAGCCCGACGAGGTTCATGGATTGGGTCAAAGTGCAGCTGGGGACTGCTGGGAACTGCTGGAAGTAGGAAATCCATCACAGTAACACCCACTTGGTTTGGTTGGTAGATGGCCCAGCGCCACAGGGAACGCAACATGTATGGCGTCCTGTTGCCTGAGTTTGCCAGATTTGTGTCGTAGGGCGAAGAACGAATTGTAGACCAGTGGAGCCGTAAGATAATTCTTAAGTGAATTCTTCATTGAGGCTTTTTCCATTTGCAGTATCGTGCTACTTCAGACATGTTAGATGATTGCTGCCGAGTCTCTTGGCTACTTGCTGCTGGGTGTTCCTGGGTCATGCAGTCCGATTTCGCCGCAGGACCTGGAGGCAAAGCTTCCGGATCTTCAGCACGTACGGCCTTCAAACCAGTTGCTGTGATGTGCAACCGGTAGGATCAGCTTTTGCCCGGAAGGAACTTGGAAGAACACCGTTCGTTTCAGTGTGCACTCACATAGTTGGTGATACCGTCAGAAAAAGAACACACGATCCACAGCCGGGCAAGCCGTTTTTTCAGCCATTTCCTCGGCCATTAACTCCAACGCCATTCCTCGGCGCTGAGGCTTTTGGAGAAGAACCATGTGGATGCTGCCCCTCTCTTCGAGTGGGTCAACTCTGAGTGTCCAATTCTCCAGGGCGAGCTATTCGACTGGGACGACCAGCGCCGCCAGACGCGCCGGTCTTACTACGACTTGAGGTGCCCGGGCTAGACCAGATTTCATCTGCTGGGGGATGCTCATTCGTTCAGTTGAGTCAAGAAGGGATAAATCAATGGTGCAACTGGAAAGCCACTGTCAGCAGAAGGAAGAACGCCATCGGCCGATCCATCCACCGATCCATCCATCCGTCTTGGTCGAAAAAGTGGACCGAACCCGAACCCCTGCTTTTTCCCTCCGTGCCATGCTTCCGAAAGGACACCGTGGACCGCCCTGGAGCCGACCACGTAGTTGCCCGAGTCACCCGAGGCTCGATCCGAAGCAAGGCGGTGCCGGAGAGCCGAATCGGGCCCTGCATGACTTCAAGGCCTGCGAGCTGAAGAGCTTCGTGCGGAAGGTGCATCGCAGTCCAGGGATCTTGGAGGACTTGGTCCGGAAGAAGCGTGACGCCACGTGGGGGGAGGAGAAGCCAACGGCGACGGGCACCAGGGGCTTCTCTCGCAAACTCGGCACGTTGATTCACAGGAGCTTTGACAGTTAAAGGAGCGAGCACATGCTCCCACCCCGGCCCACCTGCGAGTTCCGCGGACATCAACCGGTCCACTTGCCCCTTTTGGGGGCAGAAGGTGTTTTGGTGGCCGCACTCGTTTTCTCCAACTGCACGCTCTCGGGGCTCTCCGTGCACGTGCACGGGGACAGTGGGGACATGTGGGTGCGGAGAAGTCTTCTCCTTTGGCTAAGAACACAAGTCTGGATCATGAGGACCCGATGTGTCCAACATGAGCCGGTGTTTGGGTCCTGGAATGGACTGTGGCAATGGGGTGAAGAGGAGAGGGGGGGAAAATGTGGATGAGACTTGAGAAGGTTTTGGGCTGAATACTGGGGTTTGCATGGCTCTTCGTGAATCCCGTGCAACACCAAAGGTTTGTTCTTGGTTTGCGGAATACAAGGCTGATTCGAACGGCGGTTCTGCAGTTCTACCAGTTGCACCTCCCTAAACCGCACCTCCCTTCTGCGGAAACGGCGGTTGAAGTCCAACGTTCATCCAGTTGCGTCAATGGCATCACCCAGTTTGGCTCGTATCACCCCATCGCCGAACCTGGGGTTCGGCATCGGCACGGCTACTGAGCTGGCTGCTTGGCCTCCCAACGCTGGGGCAAAGCAGCTGAGTATAGAGACAGAGCCGCCCGAGCCGTTTCCACGATGGCCGGACGGATGACCGGCGATCGGAGATGAACTCGTTTTTCCCGCCAGCTGACTAGCAGGCGATTGTCGCCCCAAGGGTACCAAACCACACGAAGCATCGGAATCCAACTCGAGCTTTGTAGGGGGGAAAGCGAGGTTCAGGGCTTTGCTCCCTTTCGGGCATGGTCTTTGTTTGGATGGTACTGATTCGGTTCCTTCTTTTGAACCGTACTGACTCTCGGGCCAGGTGTAGACTTGCCGCACAGGGCAAGCACTTGCTTCCTTGTAAGTAGAGAACTTGCCAGTGTGGCTGCTCGCTCGGTTTTTGCGGAGGTATGGGTTCCTGCAAAAAGGGAGTCCTTTTTCATTAGGCACCCCCCCGCAACTTCGTCATGGCTTCATAGGAACCTCATGGATCGAAGAAACCAATGGAATTTGCGGAACCCAATTTGCTCTGCAACTCTTGCCGTGTTCTGTTTAAACATGCCCAGTGCATGTGCACCATTGCCTGCAACCTGCCCTTCGCTTGGGCGAAGTCTCCTGTGTTTCAGACGGACATCTTGATGAGTAGAAGCAGGGTTTGGACAGAAGTGCCAGGCTTGGGATAACAACACTTGAGGATTGTGAGGATCCCAATTCCGGTCTTCGCCCCCCCGGAAAGGACACAGGATATCACAGGATTATTAAGTGCACAACTGAAAAAGATCTCAGGATTAAGTGCACAACCCTGTGAGATTATTGAGTGCACAATCACAGGATTATTCAGTGCATATTCTTCCTGTCATTTATGGTTCGCCACCCACAGGCAATTTGGGTCGATAAGGTTGTTCGGCTTTGCTTCGTTGAAGGCAGCCCCTGACCAGGACCACCTGTGGGGCACCAGGGGTTTGTGAAACCGCGGCAGCCGAAGACGGTCGGACACCTCCCGTCTTCAATGGGGCATAGCTAGGATATGATGGTCTATCGATTGCCACAGATAGAGTTCTGTTGTCAGCTGAGCACTGTGCTTGGAGAGGCGTTTGGAACACAGGTGTTGAGATCAGCCCGAAGCTAAGCAAGATGCGAAGCCCTCTCAGGAGGACAGGCCGACAGAGAGTCGAAAAAGCTGGATCCGATAGCATCCGCACGTTTCCATGGTTACGTGGATGGCATAGCCCTAGTGGGTCAGATGACTTTCCTTTACGAACCAGGGGGTTCCGTGTTAATGTAGACGCTCGAATAGATAGAAAAGTAGATCTTCACTCCAAATGTATTGGACACAATATGAAGAGGTTTTTCAACTCATTTGGGGGGATTATCAAATCAATAGTCTGAGGTCAATTGCACGCACTTTCGGATGGCTGGAATGGTGCCGTTTGGATCTCCTTGCTCAGAAAAAGAACACATAGAGAAGTCGCCACCAGTCGTCACTCCTTTGGCTTTGGCTTTGGGGGAAGTGAAAAGGGACCCCTGACATCAAGATACATGAAGATACATCAAGCATTTTCACACTTTTTAGATGTATCGAAGTGCGACAACACTTGCACTTGCTTCATGATCGGGATTGTGAACTGTTTGGGGCCCATGCCCCGCTCCAGCTGGACCAGGGAAACCTGAAACTCCTTCAAGAACCTTAAACTTCATAACCTCCTCCAGTCACCATTTTGTTTGGAGATGTTTGGTGGGGTTCCGGCCTTTGGGTTTGGATCCTTCATTGAGACGTCAACCATCCCGCTCTCGCCATCGCAGTTGTCCAGGCATGGCGAGCTGGCCAGCTGCTGCGGCCACACTCCAACGATGCATTTGTGCAAGGCTGTGATAGCGAGGCGGGCGAGGGCTTTGTCCAGCTGCACGAGGTTTTTTGCAGGACGAGTGGTTGCGAAACACCTTTCTTTTGTTGTGCCAAGGACCTTGCCGCGTGCGGTGGGAGGAGCTCCAAACCCTTTCCGGGGTGTTTCACCCCTTTCTACGGTTTCAATTCGTCGGACGAGCTCGATCCTGTCAGATGGGACTTCAGTCACGTGACGTCTCCGATCACTCCACCTCGAGGGATCTCAACCGCGGGACGTGGAAACTAAGCGACATGGGGGCGGAGGATTTGGAGACATTGATGGCAACGTTTCAATGTTGGCAACGTTGAGACGTCTGCTCTGTTCAGTCTTCCGGTGAGTGGACGTATGTTCAGGTCTGTAGAGTTGCAACATATGTGGACGTATGGTTCGCGGGTTAGAAGTAACCATGCAACCAACCAAACCAAAAGCATACAGTTGCAGGGTGGCATCAAAAAGATGCGTCCCTTGTTTTTCACCCATCTTGAAGCCAGGGGTCCTTCGATGAAAAAGCAGCAGCGTCTCAAAGGAAAAGCTCTCGTCTCAAGTTGCGACAGCGACTTTCGAGACGTTCCCTGAGCGTTTCTGTCCACACCTTGAGCGGGCTGTGAGCATTACCATGGTAGAATGGCAGTTCAACCGCAAAAAACACCCGAAAAACACGAGATAGACTGCAAGGATAGAGGGCCTCAGAGATGGAGAGACACACGGACTTCCAATGCCGGCTTGCGCGTTGATCTGTGAGCACTTCTGTCGCCCACTTGTCATGTGGTCAACCACCAGGCGCTTGGCCAACGCCCAAGTCTCCGACGTTTCCGAGTCGTCTTCTCCACGTCCTTCGTCGACGTCACCCGCTGGGTGGTCCGTCGGAGGTGGCTGAGCTGGTGGGTTCTGCCTTGGGCGCTGCGCTGCGGCAGATGCTGGACGAGAGGTGTGAAACACCGGTGTCCGGTGGGCGGTTGAAACCGCCGAACACCGGCGGGTTGAAACCGGTGGGGAGGGTGATCGGGTCTTCCAAGTTCGCGCTTTGGGTGAACAAGGATTCTGAGAGGAATGGCCAGCTTCGAGAGGTGTTGGGTGAAATGGGTGAAAGTGAGCGCAAGATGTGAGGAATAAAGGACGGAGAGATGACACGTACCTGGACCGACTGGCACGGGGTGTCCTGTCTGGAGGTCCCTGATCGTGGTGGGCTGGGGCGCAACCAGCCAGGTGACCCCTTTGAAGGTGCTGGTATTATTACTTGTCATCTTATAGATCCAGGTTTTGGGGATCCGTGCAGTGAGTCAGGGCGCTGTCGTGTAAGCGATTGATTTAAGTGTTCCTACTGTTGATGGAATACATCTTAGACCTGGAGGCACCCCAAACTCCCAGTGAGTCAGGATCTATTGAATCCTCTTCTTTGACCTTACCAGTTCAAAGTACGACTGCAAAAAAGAAGATGAACAGTATCCAACAATCAGAACAGTACACCCTACCACACCCAGTCAAAAAGAACGGTCTTGGGATGATTGATGAGACCATGTAACACAATGACCACACCGCGTCAACTGCCGCGGCAGCTGCTTCGGCCATGGATGCCACCAGGAGGCCCAGTGGATCCTTCCGTTTCCTGGTGCCCTTGGATGAGGCCACACGCAGGGATGACGGTGCAGTCGTGCCGCACGAACACCGGAGGCGGCAGTGGTGGCGGCGGCGGTCGTGATGATGACAAGGATGAAATCTATATCCTCGGAGTGGTTAGTGGGGCATCCTTTGCCCGAAGGCTTGAGCAGACTTTCACCTTTGAGAACCCCAAAAGCAGCACAGCAAGCGTTGTTGCAATATCTTCAGTCAAGATCGGACCACCGGGACATGAAAGTGGTCAACATGGAGACCATGTGAACCTGGTTCGAACCTTCCTTCATGAGAGCCCACCTTGACCAAGCTGGGCCGATATGTTCTTCCACAGCTCGGGGTCGAAGACGGTCGAAGACGGTTTGCGGTCCGTCCTCCTCGAGGCGCTGACGGACCTCAGCCTAGACTTTTCAGAGGCCAGGAACGAGGGTTCCACGCGCGTGGCGCGCGTAGAGTCTTTTTTGGGAGTGAATTGGGTCTGTGTTGGTTTCGTTCTTTTTTGGTTTTGGGGAGGGTGGGTACGACCTGAGGGTTGTGTTGGATTGACCTGGCGGCCTGAGGTTGTGTTGGATTCGGTTCGAGAAACTGGGTCTTTTGGGTGGACAACATTTTCCTTTGGCCGCTCGGTTCGTTAGAGCATTTGATCAGACTCAGAGACAAGTGAACGCATTCCGCTGAGTTCGTGTCAATGAGATTTCGTGATATTTCTAGCACATGAGCGGACTTGAGTTTTCCAAGCATACTGGTTCTACCCTGGCAGCTAAGAAGCTATAGAATCGTTGTCCCCTTGCTACTCCGGATCCCCCAATGGCCCCAAAACTACCTCAACACTCGGATTTCCAGCCAACCTCCGGACCTTCTTCACCCTTTTCATCCCTTCGGAGACGTCGCACCTTGGCCGCAAACACATGGGACGCACCTCGCTCGGCCGCTGATCGCCACTCTCTCGCTCGGAGGCGTCCGTGGAGATCGCCCTGGCGCCCTTCGGCGCCTTCCCTCCTGCGGGGCGTCAGCGGATTGGCTCCTTCCGCAGCTCGGCGCCGCGCGCGCGGGGCGTGTCTTCTGGTCGGTTTGCGGGGTGGAGTCGGTTGGTGAGCTTTTTTGTTGGATTTATTTTCAAAAAAAACCTCCAAGATTCCCTAAATATTCCCTTTTCGTGAAGAGGTTTTTGCAAATCCCATGTCTGGGGGCTTTAGGAGTCTTAGAGTCTACATTACTGCGGATTCTTTTTTGGTTGGGTGCGGTTCTTTTTTCGGGGGGGCAGTTCTTTTTCGGGGGAGGAAGGTAACTGGAGTTGTTTGTACGGACCATCGGACCAGAGTGCTTTGTTCTCAAAGACAGAGCGAGCGCTTCCGGCCGTCGCAAAGGTCGCTTCCGGCCGTCGCAAGCGTGTGACAGGGCCCCGCGGAAGGGGCGATGACACATAGTCCCGAAAAGCCAAGTGGAAATCCAGTGTGACATGTCTTCCTCTATACCAGCAGTCACAAAGGGGTGCGATCCATGGAGGGTACGGGTGCCCAGCTACTCCACTCACTTAGGGACCAAACACCACCCCGACATGTGACCCCTGGTAGTTGATTGCTGTCGTGTCACACCGGCCAGACCGCAGCGGGCACCCAGGCACTGCGTTGACGGAGGTGATCTTGCGGAGGGTGGCTGAAGAGCTGAAGGTTGGACTCAAGGCGCCGCGTTGACTGGACGAAAGACCGGCGGGAAAGGCCCGGGTTGACTGGACGAGGCTCCGCAAAACCGAGATCCGGTTGGGCTTCTCCCCAGCATTCGCAAGAAGCGCCTGTCACTGGTGTCCACAAGGACTCTCGAAAGAGGAGAACTAGATCAGGACGCAGGCACGTTTGTATCTTTTTTGGGGGTTGTCAGCCACTTGGTTTGCTTGAGTCCTTTGACTTTTGTCGAGGTAGTACGGTAGAACCGATCTTTGCAAACGTGTCCGGAGCCTGGAGGCTCCGAACCTCACCGCGTGTACCAGGTGAAGAAGCTCCGTGGAGACAATGCCCATCACATCGTGGAGGCACTGAGTCCATGGAGTCGGTGGCACAGTGGAGCGTCCGTAGAGAGGGAAGCCTAGGCCGTAGAGAGGCCATTCCGAGGCCGGAAGGATCCATTTTCTGAACCATGTTCTGGGGAGAGTGTGGATTTGGCCTTTCGGGTTCCCCTTCCTTCTTTTCCTTTCCATCAGAATGTGCTGGAGAGACTTGGTCACGATATGTTTCACTCCGTGTGGTGATTGCACTTCTTTGACCATGGATAGGCGTTCGAAGCGCACATCCAACTGACCAGCCAACGCCACTCCAACCGCTATTCTAGCCCCTTCGGAGCTTCGAAGGGGCTGGTCTCTCTGACTGAAGCAACTGTGAAAGCTTAGCCACTCTCCCAACTGTGTTGAAACAAGGGAAAGACTTGCCACTTTTGGGGACGACTTAAGCGACTCTTCTGTTTTTCTCCAGCGGCAACGCAACCAGGCGACCTTCAAAAGCTTCGCGCGCTGCCTGCGCCGCGCGATGGACGCTGCCAGCGGACTCGTGAACGGCGGACCGCGGTTCTCCGCGGCCGTCCTCGGCGAGCGAAGGGTGCAGAAGAAGCGGGGGACGAAGGACGCTGCCGGGGGATCAGGCTCATCAGCTCGGAATTCCAACGGAATGTCAAAGCTATACCTCATCAACAGGATAAACACACACTTCGATAGAGTTGATCCAAGTGATAATCCACGAATGCAAGGCACTTCAAAGTTTCCCTTCCCACGCTTATTTCGTCCCACTCTTATCCACAGCTTCATTGCGTGTGATAGGATAAGAGTTAAGAATGTCACATGCCCATGGCTAAATGAAATCTGAATCGAGTGGGACCCTTTGGTACAGGGTGGGACACACACACACACACACATACACACACACATAAGAGTTTGTACGGAGGCCGAAGCCTAGAAGAAACCTTGGTGTAAAAAGGGCCCGAGTTAAACATGTGAAGGGAATAGAATGTAAAGCGGTCTGAAGCTCCGTTTTCAAGCTCTATGATCCAAAGGCCTCAAAGTTCAAAGCTCGGTCTCAGGACGAACATCGAACGCTTGAAAGTTCACCGATTGAAGCAGGTGCAAAGGCCAGAGTTCTTGTTCTAGTTACAACCAAGGGCCAGTAGGAAGTAGAAGTCATCACTTATGCATGTATGTCAGGGTGGTCAGCCCAAACTAGTAGACTCATGAGCGGGCTGCTGCCCCCTGCAAATTCAAAAACCAACAGGTTACTTATGAGTCCAAAATGTACACACACACACAAACTCACACCCTGAATTGGAGACCTGAGAAACGAGTTTTCGTTTTTCTCTAGAAGAAGCAAGAGGGGAGGGCGAGGGATATTACGTGTTGACGGACGACATGTTTCATTGACCTGCATTCTGCACACGTTGATGTGGAAGTTCCGGTCTGAAGAATACAAAATGCTTGGAAAGAAGTGATGTCAGACGGGTCTGGGAGAATGAGTTCGGAACTTCGCTTGCTTCACTTGCGCAGTTTCTGCGGGGAAGTGAACAGGGTCTCCTCAGGAAAAGAAAGCACTCAGTGCAGTGGAAAAAAGAAAGCATAGATGCCGACGTCCCCATCGTATCCATTTACGAAGAAAGCTGTGTGCCCCGACCAACCTTGTCTTTATTGTCATCAAGCTCAAGCAGTGCATCAGCAACGGTACATATCACTGGATCGGGCACATGGAACACCCGAACTCGTAAGGTATTTGTACCATGTACACTCATGGACACTGTACCCTAGAAGTCCAGTTCGACTATATTTTGACCGGCTGGAGTAAAGGAAGTTCCCTTTCAGTTCCCCTAAAGACCATTCTTTTTATAGTCTTTGACTCCCAGGGTGTACACCTGTGTATCAAGATGTCTTCGCTCAGCCATGCAGGCATATCAGCCATCCACGCTGGGGGACCCGACCCTTGAACGTTCATCCCGCAACCGGCCTCGTTTCGCCTGAAGTGTTCAGTCCTCAATCAAACACCTTGCCTGAAGCCTTCATGGGTGAGAAAGGTCTTGGCTGAAGTGGTCGTGGCCATGATCGTGGCCCCGTTGACAGGAGACGAACATCGACATCTCTGTTGACTTGGATTTGAGCCCTGAGACACCAGAAAGGCCTTTTGGACAGCTTGGATTGGTGGGAGAAGCGACAGTCGTTTGCCGTGTTTTTATGGAAACTGGGTGTGGGTTGTGCCACCTCAATCGTATTGTTGGACATGATCCCTTGTGACCAATCTTCGCATGTGATATGTGATCATCTGCCCAAAATGGTTGACCATTTTTGGCGATGTAACAGATTCATACTTGCAACTGTAACTGACACACCTCGGGTGGCCCACTCTTATATCAGTACAGTGATAGACATTCATGTCTCAAGTTCATTGGCAGCATTGTTCAGGAACCCCCACAAAATCCATTGGCCTCTCCAATGATTGTTTGTTTTCGACATGCTTACTGCCGAACCTCCCAAAACCCAAACGCGTGGGGGATGAACAACTCCAGGTTCAGCGGCGTTTTTTCGCACCTGAAGCGCCATGAACGTTTCGCCAAACCACAGAATTGACCCTGGGCGAAGCGGGGTGAAGCGGGTGGGTGGACGGACGGGCTTCGAGCTGAACACCCGGACGCTTCGAGCTACGCGACGCTGCCGCCGACGGCCGCCGCAGGGTCGCGACGGGCTTCCACACGTTGGACGCGCTGCTGCGGCGCTTGGGGAGTGGGTTGCAGCTGACCGCGAGCTGCGTGGGAGACGCCTGGATCGATGAGCATCACAGCGTGGAGGATGTCATGATCACGGTGCCCTGGGGTGGGGCCCTGGGGATGCTGGGGATGCTTGGGTGGATGGGTTGTCACCCTTCTCTTTAAAGTTTAGGGGTGGATGGGCCACGAGAGATCGATTTGAGATATCACTTGTGTTTTACCTTGTGGGAAGAAGAGATCTTGCTGATATTGAAGAAACGGGCGCAAGTGTCAGCTTCATCATTTCTCATCATTTGCTTCAAGGATTCTTCCATCCTACTAGTATCGTTAATTTGCTTTTTAGGCCATTTAAGTGGTTTCATCCATTTGGTTTTCTTTTTTGAACAACATCCACTGTGGTCATCGGTCATCACTCCGCACCTCTCGCACCTGTGGTCCTTTACACCCGGTGGTTCTGTGAAATGTGTGGCAACACCAAAAACACCTTCCCCGACCCCAAACCAAAACCAGCCCCGTTCGTAGCTTCTTGCTCCTGCCCGCGCCAGGTGGGCCAAGCACTTCATCAGGCCTTAGGCTCCAAGGCCGGTTGCTGTCGCATGGCCTTCGCGGAGGCCGCGTACCAAAGCGCCCAGGCGAAGCACACTGACTTTTGGTCGACCGCCGCGGGTGGGGGGTCGGTTTCTTTTCCGGCCAATTCGTGGCCAGGCGGCAAATAAGGCAGCAGATGGGGGAGATCCTCTGCGATGAATCAGCTCGTTCTTCTTGGTGTCACTTCAAAGTGCTTAGCAAGCTGTGGCCGGAACTCTTGAACACCACTCGGCCAACAGCAGCATCTGTGTGTTCTCGTTGTTTGGCCGTTTCCGCGCCCTAAAATACCGACCTGAGGGTCACCCAGTTCGGAAGGTGAAGAACGCCGGCCTCTCGCGTCACGAGCTACGGCTCTTTCCACCGTCGTTGTCTGGTGAACCATTTCCTCCAGGCGAAAAACCCGAGTGATTTCCCTTCCAACCAGCCAACAATCCCCGCAAAGAGCTTGCCCGATTGAATCTCAAGTGAACTCTTGATGAACCGACCCCCTCCTCTCCGGGCCTTCTTCCGCCACTCGCTCCAGAGCCGCGCTCGCAGGTGCTGTGCGTGATGGATCTCTCGAATCGTCCGATGCTCTGCCTGGTGCTCAGAGCGGCGGTATACGAGCGGTTGGAACCATGTGTCGGTTTAGTGGGGGGTTTCGGCGGGTCGTTGGAAGCATTTTTTGGCAGCTCCTGTTGCTTCACAGGGTGTACAATAATCTGCGCAGTGCCATTGGAGGGTCGGTACAGAAAGTCTGGTCGGACCAGATTTTAACAAAGAGCTGCATTCACGGCATTCGTCTGCCCATCCAGAGGCCTTGGTTGAAAAAACTCCTGAGTCGCAATTCGAGGACGAAAACATCATGGTGCAACAGAAGAACATGCCATATATATATATATAACCCCTCTGAATCTTGCAGAACACTAGGACGAGTTACACCAACACCATGACCTTTTGTGATCTTACCAGACATTTTCCTTTGGACTCCTTCGCCCCAAACACCTGTTTTCTATATCACGTTCTTGGCTTCGCCAAGGCAGTGACCTGCAGTGGCAGGGGCAGCAGGAAGAGATGGCAGAGGATGTCTCCGTGGAGTTGCTTGGATGTTAAGGTGTGGGGTGGCCAACGATAGGGCTGATGTCTCCGTTTTTCAGCGAACCGCCCCGAAATGGATTGACTTGATTTAGAGAACCAGATCAAACCGGGTTGGAAGGTAGGACCAAGTGGAGTTCTTCAGGTTTCAAGGTTAAACTGATCAAGCCAAGTCAGTGGAGTTCAGGACTTGGTAAAACCGACTCGAAGAGTTGCTTTGTTCCTTTTTGCTGTAGCATGCAGCGAATTCGAGCCCCAGCTCGAGTTCGTTCAATTCTTTACATCCGTGGCTTCTCGTTGGTGAAGCTTTGGGTGAAAAGAAGGTCAAATACCGCGATGTTCTTGAACCCCACGAACGCATGGGCTGCAGTTTACATCAGTTTACTATGCATGACTTCTAGGGAGTAACATGGAGTAGTCATCAATCCAAAAAAACAAATGGCGATGTTCAGTGTGGATTGAAGGGTTACAGTCTATTTTTTTCTCGAACTTGTCGACACAGACGACATTTTTCTTTTCAGATGCCTCCATTCTCCAAGAGAGAGCCTCTGCCAGGACGGATTCGGTAACGGGGCATTTTCTTGAACTGTCCCAGATTCTGTCTAGAGTCTAGATGCTACTAGAAACAAGTGCATTGCTACTAGTAACAAGGGCATTACTACTAGTAGCAAGAAGCTACTAGAAACAAGTGCATCGCTACT